AAGGTCTGTCCAGAAAAAGTCCAGCCATTATTAATATAAGGAGAATTGGTCGCATGATATCAATGTAATCTGGCAGCCAAGGAGAGTGAACTGGAATGTGCATGTGTGAACAATGACAACTTCACTGTACCAGGCAGTGAGGGTGGCAGACGTCATTGAGTGAGCATGTGTACTGTGTAGCTGTCACTTTCAAAATGAATGAGCTAGTAGAGCAACAGATATGCATCAAATTTTGCAGTAAGCTCGAATATTCCTACAAGGAAACTATTTGGATAATTCCGAAGGCTTTTGGGGATGATAAAGTGAGTGCAGCGCAAATAAGAGTGTGGCACAAATGCTTCAAAGATGGTCGAGAATCTCTTGAAAGTGATCCACATTCTGGAAGAACTGAAACAGGCAAAATACCTGAGAATGTTCAAGGTGTACAGGCTGCAATCAACAAAAATCAGCCACTGACAGTGTGAAAACTAGAAGCTAATCTAGGGATTCCAAAAACTAGTGTCTGAGATTTTGACACAGGATTTTGGTATGAAATGTGTCATGGCAAAATCCATTCCACCACTTCTGCTACCAGGGCTGAAGGAACATGATGTTGCAGTTGCTAATGGTGTGATTCAAACTGATACAAATGAACCAGATTCACTGAAGAAGGTCATAACTTTCAAAGGGACTGAGGCATCATTGTCCTATGTACAAAGTTTCTTGTATCTTGTATCTTCAATAAATGCTCCGTTTTACATGTTATGTGGATGGATATTTTCTGGACATACCTCATATATACCTGTTAGTCCAAGTGTTTGTAGTGTTGTTCCAGTTCTCTGTTCCCTTATTTCTACTGGTTAATATACTCATTATTAAAGTACAATATCATATTGAAATACTCCACTATTATTGTGTTCCTCTCTTAAATTCTGTCAGTGTTTACTTCATATACTTGGGTACTCTGCTGTTAGGTACATATATGTTTATAATCTACCTGCAGAATTGACTCTTATTATTTTATGATGCTTTTATTTGTTTCTTATTACAGTTTTGACTTAATGTCTATTTTGAATGCTACAAGTATGGCCACGCTTGCTTTCTTTTGGTTACCATTTCAATGGAATATTATGTTCCATCTTTCAGCCTATTTGTTTTTATACTTAAAATGAATCTTTTGTAAACAGCTATATTTCATTTTATAACCACTTTTTTACTTTCAGATAGGCTTCATAAGTACGTTAAGTACATTAAGCCTTTTTAAAATTTATGAATAACTTGGGTCTCCTTTGAGTGAATACCTCTACCCATTTTTAAATGTAATAGATCAAGTAACACAAATTTCAAGGACAGGAAAGACCTTTATTACTCTAGTCATGAAATCCATTTGGCTGTAAGATCTGCTTTCCTAGCAGTGAATACAAATGTGTACCAGCCAGGAAGCATTAGTAGATCACAAAGCCTGACATAAGGAGCAAGCTATTCACTTATGCAAATTAGACTAAATTGATAGAATAAATTAAAGCTAATTTTGTACTGGACATTTTTTTTTAAAGGAGGCATTGCATAATTTAAACTTGCTTATTTTTCCCTTATTAATACCATGATGTTATATCTACATTTTAAATCAACTTGATCAAAAGTTTGATTTTTTAGTATATGTTTATTTAATAAGACATTCATATATGTGTTAGCACTAAGCCAAGCATAATGCAAATGAGGATATTTGCTAGATACAAATATTACCCTCACTGAACTTATCTCGTGGAAGGGGACTTGCATAGCATTAATGGATGCTATGATAGAATCAGGTACATGTTAGTAGCACAAGGTAAGGGGATATTCACATAAATATGATAAGAGCATTCATCTGCATAAATACATTGACCTGCATCCTTTTCCAATTGTATTCTAAGTAAGCTAAGACACAAACACATGTATACACAAATACACACACAAAACAAAAGCCATAAGACAGACTTTATCCTTTAGGGACTATCTCCATCAGGCCAGGCGAGTAGCTGATGAACCTAACACAGAAAAACATACCCTGTAGAAGGCTGCTGAGCTTAGTTAGCTACTCTTCTTCATCCTGCTTTCCACAAGGTTAAAATCCCTGCATGTCTATACAAACAAAGAGAACTTCATATCTATGTATCTTCACAAATTTATACATTTCTGTTTTTCTGGTAAATTATTAACTTGTGCAATTTTTTAAATAATATAAAATACCTTTATTCTATCATATCCTTTTCAATGCACCTTACCTTTGTTTGATTCATTTAGTCTTAAGTGAAATACTAGAACTTTGGGAGTGGATCAAGTGCGAAGAGGCTCAAGGAAACTGCTGACGGTTAAGGAGCCGTTGTCTGTTGTCTGTCTTAGTTTGGTGGTGCTTACGTAGTAATGTGTAATCACCAAAAGCATTATAATCCCCAATTAAAATTGATTAATCATATTACCTGTAAATAATAAGTTAAACAAAAAAAGAGGAAAAAAATTAAATGACTTTGTTTTTGAAAACTTATGAATTCCTCAGAATAGTACAGGCTCTATGGGAGAGCAGGTAGTTTATTTCAAATCAAACAGAACGGATGAAAATATATATTTATTCTTCAAAAAGCTAAAAATACAATGAAATCTTTAAACCTCTGAATAATAGTTCACGTGTAGAATTTTTTAAATGTTGGATGAAAATCTAGACATGCTCTCCAGGTGCAACCATCCCCATTGCAAAGGGTAAAATTTACTTCTTGTTTTATGGCTGAGTAGTATTCCATTGTGTAAAGGTCCCATAGTTGTTTTATCCACTCATCTACTGATGGACACTTGGGCTGCTTCCATACCTTGGTGATTGTAAATAGTGCTACAATGCACATAGGGGTGTTTATGCTTTTTTAGAATAGGTGTTTTGGGTTCCTTTGGATATATTCCCAGAAGTGGATTGCTGGGTCAAAAGGCAGTTCCATTTTTAATTTTTTGAGGTATCTCTATACTGTTTTCCACAGTGGCTGCACGAGTCTGTACTCCCACCAACAGTGTACTAGGGTTCCCTTGTCTCCTCATCCTGGCCAGCACTTGTTATTTGTTGATTTATTGGTGATAGCCATCTGACAGGTGTGAGGGGATATCTCACTGTGGTTTTAATTTGCATTTCTCTGATGACAAGTGATGTTGAGCATCTTTTCATATGTTTATTGGCCATCTGTATATCCTCTTTGGAGAAATGTCTATTCAGGTCCTTTGACCATTTTTTAATCGGATTGTTTGTTTTGTTTTGGTGATGAGTTTTGTAAGTTCTTTATAGGTTTAGGATATTAAACCTTTATCAGATGTATTGGCAAATATGTTCTCCCATTCTGTGGGTTGTCTTTTCATTTTGCTGATGTTTTCCTTTGCTGTGCAAAAACTTTTTAGTTTGATGTAGTCCCACTTGTTTATTTTTCTTTTGTTTCCCTTGCCTTAGGAGATATACCTAATAAAATATTGCTACAAGCAATGTCTGATATTTTACTGCCTATGTGTTTTTCTATGATTGTTATGGTTTCAGGTCTAACATTTAAGTCTTTAATACATTTTGAATTTATTCTTGTTTGTGGTGTAAAAAAGTGGTCTGGTTTCATTCTTTTGCAGGCATCTGTCCAATTTCCCCAATACCATTTATCTAACAATCTTTAATCCATTGTATGTGCTTGCTTCCTCTGTTGAATATTAATTGACTATAAATGTGTGGGTTTACTTCTGGGCTCTCTATTCTATTCTATTGATGTATGTATCTTTTTTAAAAAATCTTATTTATTTATTTTTAGAAAGAGGGTAAGGGAAGGAGAAAGAGAGGGAGAGAAACATCAATATGTGGTTGCCTCTCACACGTCTCCTACAGGGGGCCTAGCCTTGCAACACAGGCATGTGCCCTGACTGGGAATGGAACCAGCAACCCTTGGGTTCACAGGCTGGCACTCAATCCAGTGAGCCACACCAGCCAGGGCAATGTGTCTGTTTTATTTTTTTAATTCCAGTGCCATGCTGTTTTGATTACTATGGGCTTATAGTATAGTTTGATATTAGGTGATGTGATTCCTCCAACTTTGTTCTCCTTTCTCAGAATTGCTGTTATGGTTTCAGTCACATGTGGAATCTAATAAACAAACTGAACTAACAAGCAAAATAGAGACAGAGGCATAGGTAGAGAACAGGATGACAGCTAAGGGGGCAGAGGTTAGAGAGTGGAGGGATTGAATGAAAAAGGATAAAGGACTTATGGACATGGACAACAGTGTAGTGATTGCTGGGGGAGGGGGATATAAGGGACTAAATGGTAATTGGAAAAATACAAATAAAACTTCTTTGTGAGTGAACTGTACTTGGTAAGATATTTTGAAAGGCAAAAATGTTTCTTATATTGAGCATATTGAGATAAAGAGTGGACTGGGAATCTCTATTGCTGAAGTGAAAGATGATAAATGATTATCGACAGCATTTGTTTATATTTACACTCTACTTGCTTTTATACTACACCACACTCTGATCACTCATCTCAATGAATTTTGATATAGTCTTAAATACCAAGACAGCACTTTGCAAGAAAAATATTTGGTCTACTGAAGGGGGAAAAAATCCTGCTTGGTCCATCTTGAGATCAGTGCATTACATTCATTTAAAGATTGCCTGCAAGTTTAAATTCACAATCCATCTCTCTCAAAGGTGAATTAGAGTTAAGTAATCAAAAGCTTGTTAGTGCTATTGCTTTTTCATCTTTCCTGCATCTATAATGGTAGCAGTCAGCAACAGCTTCCCCTCCCCAAAATGTTCTAGTTCCACATACAGCTTTTTTTTAAATAACAAAAAATGAATTGTTCTTTCCATGAATAGTACTTTAGTAACATGTTTTAAATCTATTTGCCCTATGATATTACTTACGATACATTTAGTTAACATGCTATCCCAACATGTATTGAACAGTAAGAATTCATATTCATAATCAATCCTTTCTCTTTTTAATCATTATTGCTTTGTTTCAGAAACTATACTGTCGTTAATTCCAAAATCATCGTGGTCACAATACGGCCTGAACCCAAAACAACTGATTCATTCCTGGAGATAGAACTAGCTCATTTGTCTAATGTAAGTATCATTCACTTGTTTTTAGAATTATCTTTTAAAGAAGATTAACAGTCATACTTTTGACCAATAAGACCAGAACACATTTTCTAAGCTTTTTAGAGTTGCAAATGTGTTATAAAGATATGTATTTATAGAAATGAAATGCCATATTATTCTATGCTTTTGTTCATGATAAAATTCTCTTCAGTTTATCTGAGATAATAGCAAATTGTTTACCAGTGTACACATCTTTATTGTACTCTCAGCTGGATCAAGATGAATAAGTACCTGTCTCGCCATGAAGTATGGAAGACTGCCATGTAAATACACAGATTTAATACAGGGTAGGGCAAAAGTAGGTTTACAGTTGTTCATATCAAAAATAATACAATAATGAATAAATAATAAAAAATCACAAACAGAAAACAGTATGGTGATTACCAGAGGGAAAGGGTGCAGGGGAGAAGTAGAACAGGCTATAGGAGGAATAAATGGTGATGGAAGGAGACTGTGCTTGGCGCGGTGAACACACAATACAATATGCAGATGATGTATTATAGAATTGTACACCCAAAATGCATACAATTTTATTAACTACCCCAATAAATTCAATAAAAAGAATAAATAAATAATACAAACATAATCTCTGTGTTTCACATACTCACAACTGTAAACCTACTTTTGCCCACCCTGTAGTGTATGAAGCAATAGAAGTCACAAACGTAAGACAGTGGGGAGTGATTAACTCCAGAGTAGGAGAATGGGTGGGCAGCATTTAAAAGCGCTAAACTGGGGATCAGAAAAGGCTCTTTATAAGCATCTGTGTGCTCCAGCGATCTAAATCTAAATCTTCCATTTCAGAATGACAAGAACACTTTCTTAAATCCATCTTACCTGCAACAGAAATTCTTTGGATCTCGTTCAGTACTTATGTAGAATTTAAAATATATACTTATCCTTTATATATTCACTTTGAATATTTAAATCATTGATGACTAGGGACAAGGAAAGTGATTCCTATTAAAAGTTTCCTAATTAAACTCTTATACTTCCTGTATTAACATAAGCCAGTCTCATGTCTTGCATATACACAGGTATTTTTGTTTGTTTCTTGCAAACTTCTTATGAATTTGATTTTTGCACACAAATAACAGAAACACAAAATGATTGCCATTTTCCCAAATTCATATACTTAGTGAATGACATAATGGGACTTAAAATCACATTTTTTGTTTTACAAAACCCATATATTTTCTGCTATTTTAAAATTTCTGATATTCCCTAAAAAAATTAGCCTTGATTTTATAAAAATAATGACAACTGTTCTTCCTTGTAAACCATTTTTTACTAAGCTTCTTCAGGCTTCCTAGATGTTCAATGAAAATCTCTCAGCAATACCTTTTAAACATCATAATTAATATTTAAACTATTAGGCCCTTTCCTGCTGTTACCATACTGATTCTATCTAAGTGTGAGAATGGATTTCATCTCCTTAATAACATCTACTTACTCAAATCTTAGAATAGCCATAATCTCATCACTGCACCGAGAATGGGGAAATAATTTTAAAATTGCTTTTGGGTAAGAAATTAATTTCTTTCTGAATACAAAATGTATTATAAAATATTTATTTTCTTATTTGTGTTTTTATTGTTTAGCATGGTGATGTCGATCTAGTTATTAAGTATTGATTAAAAATACTAAGAGATATTAACTCCCTGAATTGCGTACTGTAAAATAGTGTGAGAATGCATACCATGTTCAATGTGTCTTATAAAGAAAGCACCCTGTAGATGAAAACAACTCTCTTATTTGAAGATAAAATTCTCATTTAGAATTTAAAGACCATATTAATTAAATGACATTTTTTATAAGTTAAAGAAAGAGTACTTCAAAAAGTGTTGATGAAACAGTCTCACAATTTAAATTCAATAAAATCATTTAAATTTAATAGATTTAAGCTCTGAGCCAAACTTTTCTCTTCTGGAGGCTCATTTGGACAACCAATTTACAGAAGAAATAAACCATATAAAAATATTTTCTACACGTGGAAAATGAGTGCACAGTTAATGCATTTTATTAAGCACCAGCTAGATAATAGAGTGCAATGCAAGTCAGACTATAAGAAGGGTGTGATAATTTCCAGAAGTCATTTAGAATTAATTGTCTTTCAGTGTTTTGAGTGAGTTGAACAGATCCCTAAAACAATACTATATCTCCTCCAGAAGGCCTAGATTTAAGAGAATAGAGACAAATCTAGTACAAAGGGGCTGGGAGAGGAGAAGAGTTCACTCTGGAGAAGAAAGGCTGTGAAGTGCTCCTACGCATGTCCATGCCCCCTCTCGTGCACTGCCTGCCTGTGCCGGTCCTTGGAGGCCATCCAGTTAACACCCTCACAGGAGAACCTCTCATGCTTTCCTGTTTTATATACACTCATCACACTGTTCCATGCACGATGCATACAGCCCTTTATGCTTTACTGTTTTGAATTTTTAATGATTGTTGTGTTTTTTAATGATTGCGTGAATATATACTTACAATTCAAATTAGATTTTGTGAATACTTTATTGTTCCCTGAGGGTAGGAATATGTGATTGATTTATTGAATATCTTAATATTTATTACCAGTTTATAAAGAAATGTTCTAATACAAATCAAAGCCAGGAAGACAAATAACCCAATTAAGAAATGGGCAAAAACCTGAATAGACACTTCTCCGAAAAGGACATACAGAATGCATATAAACATATGAAAAAAATGTTCAACAACATCAATCATCAGTAAAATGCAAATTTAAACCTCAATGAGATATCACTTCACACCTCTCAGAATGGCTGCTATCAGTAAATCAACAAACAACAGGTGTTGGTTAGGCTGTGGAGAAAAAGAAACCCTAGTGTACTGTGTGTGGGAATGCAGTCTGGTGCAGCCACTGTGGAAAACAGTATGAAATAGCCTTTAAAAAAATAAAAATAGAGCTGCCTTTTGAACTAGAAATTCCATTACTGGGAGTATACCCCAAGAATCCCGAAACACCAATACAAAAAATATGTATATATAAACATCCCTATGTTTATAGTAGTGCTATTTACAATAGCCAAGATTTGGAAATAGCCTTAGTGTCCATCAGTAAATGAGTGGATAAAAAAAGCTGCTGTACATTTATACAATGGAATACTATGCAGTAGTAGAAAAAGAAAAACTCTTACATTTTGCAACAGTATGGATGAACCTGGGGAAATTTATGCTAAGTGAACGAAACCAGTCAGTGAAAGGAATATACCACATGATCTCATTTATATGTGGAATCTAACGAACACAATAAGCCAATGAACAAATAATAACAGAAACTTAAATACATAAAACAGACTGACAGCTGCTGGGAAGGAGGTGGGATGAAAAATGGTGAAAGGATTAACCAAATAACATTTAACCACAATCCATGGACGTGGACAATATGGGGACTGGCTTGGGGTTGGGAGAACAGGGAGCTTGGTGGAGGTGGGGAAAAGAAGAAAAAGCAGGAACTGTAACAGCATAAATAATAAAAATAAAACTATAAAAAGAGAGATATCCTATATACTGATTTTAGTGTATTTCCATTGAAGAGATAATCAAAAGAGCCTATACTAAAATATAATAGTCCACTAAAATGTCAAAAAAGGCTTATATTAAATATGCAAATTGAAATTGATTAAAATAAGCTAAAATTTCATCATGACTATAACTATATACATTAAATACACATCACTGTTACTGCCTTCAAAATTGAACTATTTTGGATATGACATATTTCCAACATTAAATCAGTCTTTCACCAATATTCTTATATCAAAAGTATCTGCTGCATTTTTCTGAGCTCAGAAAAGGAGAATGACTTTCAAATTATATCTGTTTCATATACTATGGGGGGAAAAAGTAAGAATGGGAATCAATAGTTATAATGAGTCTAGGGGAAAACCTGTTAAATTTTTCTAAATGAAATGTATTCTTTAAAAAGCTTTTTAACACATGCCATTTTAAGTATGTTAAATATATGAAGGCCTTTGGAACTGGTAAAAATAGGTACTAGAATATGGACTTTTGGAATTCCAAATTGTATTTAGTCAAGTCAATTACAGTTTTAACCATCTTATAAGTCATTAATAAGCATATACTATCCTTAGATTTTTGGTTTATGGCTTTATAATTATGACCTATAAAATAAAATCAAGGTTGTGGTCTTAGTGCTCAGGTATAGCAACTGATTCCTTTGAAGAAATATAAGATTTACCTTTCCCAGAAAAAGAATTTTATTTTTCATTCAGTGTATTAATTTAAGGTTTCTTTAGTGTGACATTCATTCTTTTTGATATTGTTAGACTAATGCATAAGGAAATTTAAGAATTTAATTTAAAGTAATTACTGAGACCTAAATAAGCATACTAGAATGGACCTATATGTACACACACATACATATACACATGCCCACCATGAGGACGCCCTGGGTCTGACAGGTCTGAGCCTGCAGTGACTTTTTTAGGTAGATAACATCCCAATATTTAAAAATGAATTAGAAGAATGAGAAAATACATGTATTTTAGTTGTCTTGTGCTTATAAGCTTTGCAAGCTGTAAAAATGCATTATTTTTCCAAATGAAAAGTCCTTCTGTAGTTCCATTTCTAGTGGAAAGATAGATGGGACTGTGCCGGCTTGCGGTCTCTACAGTCTAAACTGCTACCTTGCAGAACTGAAAAAGTCACCAGATTTATTTGTAGTTATCAAACTGGTCCTATTCATGAAAGATCTCATGGGAATTTGGATTTCTGGTTTGTTTGGTTTTTTTGCAATATTTGCTTGCATATTCATAGGACCAATCTAACAAGTTAAGGAGTTTGATTTATATGCATAAACTAAAATTAATCATGAGCCATGGCCTTTGTAAATAATAGTGGAAAACACAGTGAAAGACTGTAATGAATATGTTTGTTAACATTAGATAAGCATGAGAAACAATGAAGAGATTCCAACATTCATCAGT